GGAACAGAATCAGTTCAATGGTGCTGCATGGTGGAACAGAATCAGTCCAATGGTGCTGCATGGTGGAACAGAATCAGTTCAATGGTGCTGCATGGTGGAACAGAATCAGTTCAATCGTGCTGCATGGGGGAACAGAATCAGTTCAATGGTGCTTGCTGCATGGTGGAACAGAATCAGTTCAATGGTGCTTGCTGCATGGTGGAACAGAATCAGTTCAATGGTGCTGCATGGGGGAACAGAATCAGTTCAATGGTGCTGCATGGGGGAACAGAATCAGTTCAATGGTGCTTGCTGCATGGGGGAACAGAATCAGTTCAATGGTGCTGCATGGTGGAACAGAATCAGTTCAATGGTGCTGCATGGTGGAACAGAATCAGTTCAATGGTGCTGCATGGTGGAACGGAATCAGGGATGGTCACATCATGATTTCTGACCATTTGCTCATTAATTCATTCATGCTCCAAATATTTACTGAGTATTTACTAATACCTGCTGGCCCCCAGGGTATAGACATAGGAGCTCTGACTATAAACCAAAGAGATCTTTATTCAACTGTGCAGGCTTAGCCTATATTGGCGGTGGGGGTGTGTGTATGTCTTCACAGGGGTCGCTTAGAAAGTGAGGACATATTCCAGGGGAGTAGCTGATGCCCAGAATGTCTTTGAGAACTCCTATTTTAGAATCACCTTGAGATCCAATTTATAAGCCAAGGAGAAAATCAGTTCCAGCACTTTTCAATTCTCTCTCTCTCTTTCTTTTTCAGTAAAGAATGATGATCTACCACCATTCCAGCACACACACACACACACACACACACACACAAAATTCAGCAGAAATGTCATCTAATAAAAACCAGATCATTTTTCAGACACTGGAAAAGCAGGGGTTGTGGCAATGGACTCACCTGAGTTTGAACACTGAGTCCACTTGGCCTGTCTGTGTAATCCACAGCCAAATGATTTCACCTTTTCAGGTCTCAATTTATGGTCTTAAAAATAAATACGATAATAAACCTTGTTGCATCTCTGTGAGGATTGGAGATAATGTAATTATGAGGTCTAATGCAGCACCCTGAATAGAGACAAAACTCAATAAATGGTTGTGAGGGACTTGTGGAATTTTACAAACATTCTGCACACCTTTGGCAGGCATGCTTCAGTGTTCAGGCACTACACATATTAGATGGGTAATGGTCGCGTGCTTGGTAAAGTACAGAATAGCAGAGTCCTTGTTTTCTTATTACACCTCAGAGAGAGGACCATGCAACTTAGAGGTCTCATCCAGTGTCTCCACCTCTGCCATGCAGGGAGTTGAAGGGGAGGACTCAGGTCCCCTAGAGGTAGAAGTAGTGGCAGCTGGTACCAGTCCCTGGAGGCAGCAGGCAGAGCTGATAGAAATCTGCAGGTCTCAAGCTGTCATAAGATCTGGACTCAAGACTTAGGCATCCTGGGGCCCCCGAGGGCAGGGGCTCACCACCGCCTAATACTCCAACTTTACTATGTTCAGCAAGGGGTAAAGAGTGGATATGGCTGCTGGGAGTGGCAACTTCCCATGTAGCCTTCCTCTTTCCCTGCCCAGAAGCCAGCCTAGACTGTTTGCCAAGCACAAAACCAACATCCAGGTAGTCGTTTTAACCCATCAACAACCTCCCACAGGTAGTATCTTCTCATGTCCCCACAAAACAAGCTCAACTTTGAAAGACTGGTAATTACTGCCCCATGGGATGGATGGGCACACCAAGTCTTGTCCAAGATTTTATACAAGTCATTGGTTTTACTGTTGAGGCTGGGACGGACACCTGGAAGCAAGTCTGCTATCTCCAGCCCACTGTGCTGAGCTGTCTATAACACATCAAGAAAACCTTTAGAGACCTGCCTCACCACCAGCCTCATAGCCGAAAGAAATAATATCTCTACAAGTATAAATTTTCCAAGAAATAAAATGTTAAGCCCTCAAGTTCAAAAGGGGAGAGAGAAACAGAAGAAAGAACTAAGGAATGATTACGGAAGATATCAAATACCTAAACAGGAGGAAGTCTAGAGAAACAGTGTGTGGAAGCCTGGAGAACACTGTCCTTCATACAGAGTCAGGCTGACTGGCTCTGTTCCTTATTAGCTATGTGACCTTGGGCAAGTCATTCAACATTTCTGGATGCCCACCTTAGAAAGCCATAGGATTGTTATGAGAATTCAATGCAATGGAAAAGCGTGTGGAGCCTCCTGCAGGGTGCCTGGCACGTGGAATTGATTAGAATCATCCTATGGAATGTCAGGGCTGGAAGGAGCTTGAACGATGACCTCATCTCAGTGTCTCATTTCACAGACCCAGAAAACAGGGCCCAGAGAGAGGAAGTGACTTGCCCAAGGTCACATAGCAAAGTCATGGAGATGTTGGGTCTAGCACCCTCAGTTTATTTTGAAATCAAACACCAAAACCTAACAATAGATCTGATCTCCCAAGCTGTGCAAGGGTGGAAGAAGCTTTTTCCGGGGTTCCAAAACTTAAGCTTTCTTTCTCCATTCAACAAGCAAAATTATGCTATTTCTGTCCAGAAAAAATTACAAAAATTTTAAAAACAATATTAATACTAAAATCCCAGATCTTAACAAAAAGACACTCTTTTAAGCCTTATTTTTCCTGCCTTCTTCTCTTACTGCCCCCCCAACCCAAATATTTTGCAATAACAGTAATGCTGCAAGGAAAGAAAAAATAAAAATCTGATGCACTTAACAGATATTTCAGTACACTAATGCATCACAGATGTTCATATCAAACTGTGCACGCGTGCATGCAATTTTACTGAGAAGGCTGTTGCATTTCTGATTTTGAATTTTTGGATCCCTAATGACCTCATCTGCCTAGGCTCCAGAATCCCACCCTTCCCATTTAGTCCAAGGCTGCCCAAGGGGATGGAGGAGAGATTTCATCGCCTCCCTACAAAATGATAACAGGACAAATTGGCATGATTGGACACTCAGGCAGGTGGTGAAGGGTATGGAGATTAAGGAACTAAGGGGAGTTCTGTTTTCTTTTGTGTGGGACTTGCTTTCTGCAGCTCTTTTGAGGAGCTGGACCCAAAAACAATGTCAAGAGTGGGCCCAGGCTGGTGACGGGTGGGCACATTTTTGAAACAGAGATTGAAGTCTGTTTGATCTTCAAGCATGAGCTTTGGAGACTGTCAGCAGGCTCCCTCCCGGCCGATGAACGGCTCTCAGTAACTTTTCCTAAAACATAACCTCACACACATTTTCTAGCAAATGCTTTCACCCTACCAAAGCCATCATTTGGTTAAACAGCAGTGTTTCCAGACCCCAAAGAAAGATAGTTTTGTTGTTTTAAGAGAGACAGATTAAAGCTAGGGGCTGCTTAGCCAGAGTTTGTGTGTGCTCCCTTCAGCCTTTGTCGGATTCCTCTGTGGTTGGTGCAAAGAGGGTGTTGAGAGCGATGGTGGATACCTCACCTCTAAAAAAGATATCGAGGCCAGACCTAGGCCTCTGAACAGAGAGGCCTCCCACAAACCTGCCTCCGAAATGAGATGGGCGGTGAGCGCTGGGGGTCCCGACACAGATAATATCAGCTCCCGAGGCTGGCAAGGGAAAAGTCACTTCAGAGGGAGAAAGCGGCTATGTTCAGAGGAATCAGCACCGGGCCAGAGAATACACAGGATTTTCCCCCGTGGAGAAGGAGTCAGGCGTAGTCAGAACCCTGCAGGGCGTGACTAACTGCCCCAATGCTCCTGCCACTGGGGCCCTCTGGGTAAGGACTCCACAATTATGGGAGAGCCAGCAGGAGAACCGACAAACCCGCCTTTCATTTGGCCGGCAAATCAATCTGGCTTCTTACCTCCCCAGGGACAATATTGCATTTCCCTTGGAAAAACAAAGGCCAGAGATCTTGGAAAGGGGATCAGTTTCTGCCGCTGTTTCCCTGGTGAAGAGCTTGCAACATCTCCGGGGCAGCAAGCAGGTCTGATTCCAGTGGTAGTTTCTGGTCCAGTCAATTTATGAGGCTCTCTCCTTAACGGGCAGCATGTCTCTGAGCCATGCCTCACTCAGGAAATTGGCCCAAGCCCCATCTTGGGGCCTACTTGAAGGAGTCCCCATCCTGGGATTGACAGTCCCGTTCTCAAGACACAGATGTGAACTCATTGTTCCCAGGGTCTCAGAGTTGAGTTTGGGGCCAGTGAGTAGCAAGTGACCTCTGTCCATGGAGACAGGGCTTTTAATGACATTTTGCTGTATCAGATCTCTGGCAGCCAGAGACTTTAAACCTCTTAAGCCCCTCCCTTTTCTCCTACTTCGGAGGTTCAGAAATCAGGACTGTCAACCTTTAAGTGAACACACTTCTCTGAAATTATTAACCTTAAAACTGTCCTGGCTGACTTTCTCCTGGCCTTAGGGAGCCGGTCTGAGGGTCACTTAGAGCTTTGCACAGAGCTGGGAAACTGATGGTGCTTAACCTCAAATGGCAAGCAGCACTCTACTGTCGCCAGGTCCCGGGCAACTCCTTGTCGGCTCAGCCCCAGGAGCTATGCCTTCCTCTTGTTTTCTCGGGCACTGTCCACACACCAGCCCCAAGACAGCCTCCAGGGCCTCAGGAAGGCCTGACACACACCGGAAGCCCCTCTTTTTGTTTTTGATCACTCCGATGCTCTGAGGGAAATTCTTTCTGCCCAGGCAAGCACAGCAGGTGAGGAGTGTACATCCCCAACATGTAATACTGCTGCAATAGAAGCAAACACTCAGACTCTTACCCCAAATTTCAGTACACACCACTCTCAACTGATACTACCAGAGCAGCCAAGTGCTGCCTTGCAGCCCAAAAGAACCTCTCCTTCCAGAAAAAGGACCTGACTCTGGCTGCCTCCCGCTCCCCGTCGGAGAAGAAAGACAATCGGAGAAGAGGACTCAGGCGCCCTGGCCTGTCAGCTCCAGCCTGGGGCCCTGCATGCCTACCTGGGAGAAGTTGAGCCCGTTGTTGAGGGGATGGCACTGCTCCTCCACCTGCTCCACAGCCCCTGTGGTCTTCTTCATCTTCTCAGCCTGCTGGGCCAGGTAGAGGTCGAGCACGGGCACCCCACGGAAGCGCACGTCCCTCTCGGTGAGCGAGTTCACCATGAGCATCACCCAGACGGGCCTCTTGCGCTCCCAGTTGCCCGCGATGGCATTGAATAGGTAGTCAGCATAGAGCCCCCTGCCCCGTTGAGCGGGCGTCATCCAGGAGGGCATCATCAGCTTGACGTAGTCCAGGTGGCGCTTCAAGCGCCAGTAAAGCTCGCGAGGCAGCACATCCTGCAGGTTTTCCCCGTGCGGCAGCAGCTGGCAGCTGGCCAGGGCCGAGATGGTGTAGGGGTCTGTCAGGTCCAGCTCAAAGTAGACATGGGCGCTAGCCTGGAAGGCTGCCTTGGAGTTGTCCGGGATGAAGTCCCAGACACGGGTGTAGGGGACGTGGATGGTGCCAAACAGGTAGGCCGGCGGATCACGACGAATCGTCCACAGGAAGGAGTTCAAGTCCCTCTGCTGCAGGAGTAGACAGGCAAGGCAGTGAGGCCGAAGGCAAGAGAGTAGAGTCAGGGTAGCCCAGAGGGAGGTGCAGAGGGAGGTGGGGATGGGAGGCAGAGACCATACACAGGCCATGGTAAAGAGCCAGGGCTTTGGAGCCTGGAAGACCCACATTGAAAACCTCGCTTTGCCCTGTCTTAGATGTATGATCTTGAGTGAATCATTTCACTTCCCACAGGCTCCGTTTCCTCATCTATAAAATGGGGGTGAAAGCAACTACCTCAGGGGTTGTTGGGAAGATTAAAAGATACAATATATGTATATTAAGCCCTCAGACCAGTGCCAGGCACAGAGGAAGTCGGCAATGAAGGGAAACTCTCATGATTAGCAATTGCCATGAGTGCCAAGGACTGCCACACCACCTGAGAATATTCATGCTTGGCCAAGTCAAACCTTCACCGGTGGTGTTTCATGTGGAGGGTGGGGAAAGGGGGACCAAGAGTCCTGCTCTGGCAAGAAGGGAGGAAGTCATATAACTTTTAAATCCAACCATTAGAAGATATATGCCAAGAGCACTTTGAAAGCAGAACACCTATTAAAAATAGCACACCTATTTAAACAGCTACTTCACATTCATCACGGTGAATACACTTTTCTTTTTGGAGGGTAGGTCTGGGGTGTCAGCTACTTTGCTCCACCAGCTGAGACCATAGATGAGAAAGTGCTTTAAAATCTTGCAAGGCCAAGTCAAGTTTCAGAATCTGGCTTGGGAGGAAAGGATTCCATTACAATTAGTCCCAAGAAATGTACATATTCTGGGTACTTTCCAGGCTCCTCCCCTAAAAATGTATACCTGATCTCCAACCCCAGTTGTTTGTCATTTTCTATGACCTAAGCTCCAACTTTGGGGAGTGTGTGTGTGTGTGTGCGCGCGCACGTGTGTAGGAGCTGAGGAGAGGTATGCAGACAGGGGTCCTTTCTACAGATCCAAGTCAGGGCTGGGCATAAAGGGCATGAGAAGGGGACTGTCATTTCTCTTAGGCAAAGCCATTTTCCATCCAGAAAAATCCCTGGAGTGCCCACTGACCACTTGCAAGCTTTAGACCAACTCATAACATTTTCCTGTCTGATTCTAGCACAAATGAAAAGTATGTGTTGGGATGGGTAGCTTGTGGGAGAACAGTACATTACTTTACTAACTATCCAAAACTGTAAATCCCAGCATGTTGGCGATAGACTGAGAGCCCAGCCAGCCAACGAGCTCCTTGTTTGTGCACAAGGCAGGCCGCTGGAGGTGCACCTTGCCCAGGGTCAGCGAATTCCGGGCTGACAGGCAGCACACCGACAGCAGCCAGACCCTACGGTCTCCTGGCCTCCAATTCAGGGTTACTGTCAATGCATTAATTTACACTTAGAGGGAAAGATACTGAAGGAAATAAAGAGGTTCTTTGTTTTGGAAGGAAAATTAGGAGAACCAGTAATTACTTGACCCCAGGAAATATTAGGCCAGTACGTCCTGGCATTGCCTTTTCCTCTCCTCTGAAATCTTCCCCCTTTTCATGAAATATGGACGCTTGGGAGAGTAGGTGGTGGAAGCCTGGACCGCAGAGATGGAGGTGAGAACCAGCAACAGGGAGAAAGTTTGTCTTAGGTCAGAGTGGGAGGGCAGGGAGAAAGAGGGAAGCCTGGGAGGGGGCAGAGTGTGTGAATGGGAGAGCAAAAGGTTCGATAGAAGTCAAGAGAAGAGCAAGGAATGGTAGAAAGACACAGTCAGAAACGGGCAGAGAGACGAGAAGTGTAAAGAGAGAGAGAGAAAAAAAAAAAAAAAACATGAGAAAGGAGAGACAAAAAGGGGCACAGAGAGAGGAAGCGTCCAAGCAGGACCACAAGTCAAGGGGAGAGCCCGAGAGCGGCAGCGTGTGGAGAAGGAACCAGAGAGGGAGCGCCGCTTCTCGCTCCTGGCTTGGAGCTGGAGCCGGGGCAGGCAGGAGCGAAGGAAGGGCGCCGGAGGCTGCGCCCGGCGGGTGGAGGTGGAGCGGGTGGGCTAAGGTGGGTGCGGAAGCAGTACCCAAACCATCGTCCCATGGGACTGGAATACCCAGGTAGGCGGGAGAGTGGCTGGGAAGGCGCTCGCTCACCGATCCGGGCGGCCGGCACTGTCCTCCGTCCGGGGGCTGCGGGCGGGCGCGAGCGGTGGCGAGGAGGGCTGCGAGCAGCGGCCCCGCCAGGGCGGCGTGCATCCTGCCGCGGCCCGCGGGGCGCGGGGGACCCTCCCGGACGGCGCCCCTCAGCGGGGCGGGGAGCCCCCAGTTGGGCACGGAGTTTCCTCTGGAGCACTGGGCTCCAGCCACAGGATGCTGGTCGCCCTCTGGGGCGTGGCTGACTGTCCCTGTCGAACCTGGGGGTTTCTCTGGGGCGGGGCTCCGTCTGTTGGAAGACAGGGACCCTCTAGGGCTGGGCCCCGCCCCCGGGCGCTCAACCTCGCTGGCCGAGCCCCCAGGTGCTGAGGGCGTGTTGGGGTCCGGGGGCGCGCGGGGTCCCGGAGCTGCGTCGGGGTTCAGGGGCGCGCGGGGCTCCTGGGGCAGAACCGAGAACCCGGGGTGCGCGGGGGTCCCTGGGTTATGCTGGGCGCCCGGGGCGCGCAAGGGTCCCAGGGGTGCGCGGCGCTCCAGGAGGCGCGCAGTGGGACAAGTGCGGCGGAGGGCGCGGCAGGGGTCGGGGGCGGCTCTGGGGCGGCCGGCTGCCCCCGAGTCCGGCTCAGAGGGGCGGCGGGCGGCCGCGCGGCCGCTGCCCGGGCTCCGCCATGCTGCTCCGCGGCCGGGAGAGAGGGAGAGAGGAGGGCGGGAGAGCGGCGCGGAGCCGGGCCGGGCGGGGGGCTGGGGCCGCTGAGGCGGGGGAGGGGAGGACCTGGCGCGGGGGGCGCGGGGGCGGGGGACCGGGGCCGCGCCGGGCCGGGCCGGGCCGGGCGGCAGGGAGTCGGGGCTAGCTCCGCGCCCGGGCGCGGCGAGGCGGGGTCTGATGGGCATGGCAGGCGCTCGCTCGCTCCTCTCTGGCTTCCTCGCTCGCTCCCTCACACGCGCGGAGGGAGGCGAAGCCCGCAGCAGCCACTTCCCAACTTTCCAAACTTCCCAGCGCAACTTTTTCCTCCCCTCCCCTGCCCGCGCCTCCTCCCCCATCCCTCCCCCTTCCCATCGCCTGGCGCGACCGGGCCGCAGCTTCGCCGTGCGACCGCCAGAGGGCGCCCGGGCTAATGACCGGCTCGGCCAACCTCCGCGGGCTCAGCGGCAGACGCGGACTGGGTGGCAGCGACAGATTTGGGGACCAGCCTCGCCCAAAGCGTCCCTCCCGCAGATCCTGGCAGGAGCGAACAGCGAGAGGGACAGAAGTTGGACTGGGGAGGTAGCAGTCTCTCGAAATTCAGAAAGCTGCTGTGTACAACTTTATGACATGCGTAGCGCTGGGATGAGCTTGGTAGGTGCTCTGCAAACACCAACTGAAAAAGAAAAGAAAAAGAAATCCCCAAAATTCCTTGGAATCTTCCATTTAAGTAAATCCCCTCTTATCTATGTCCTTGGACCCACGCAGTATCCCTGTGCCTGTCTCTGGAAGAGTGAGGATTGATATCGCAGTGTCTTAGACCACAAGACTTGAAAGACCCCTTAAACCAACCTATTCGTCCTCAAGAGGCACATGAGACTTAGAGAAAGCCAGGGCGCAAGATCTAAGCTTCTGAGTTGTTTCCAGCAAATGGAGAAAGGGAGGCACAGGCACCCCTGCTTGGTTCTGTTAAAGGAGAGTTTGTTCCTATTCTGACAACAGGTATTGACGGATGAAGTAGGTGATACTTTCAGGAGCCCGCCCACAGCCTAGAGAAGGAGACAGACAGAGACAGATATGCAAAGAAGCCATTAAAATACAGATGATGAGGGCCAGGAGAGACAGAAGCACAAGGAAATGGGAGCAGAGAGGAGAGCTCCTAACACAGCCCAGAGGCCCAGGGAAGATGCCTGGGAGATGGTTTTGAAAAATAAGTCAGAGGTGGCTTAGAGAAAGAGGTGCACACGCCTTCCAAGTGGAAGAGCAGGTGCCAAAGCATAGCAGTGTGAGAGCACTCCAAGTAGTTACCCATGGCTGCAGCAAAAAGCAAGTGGCAGGAGCTGAACCTGTGTCTTCCGGCCAGGCTGGGGAGTCTGTCCATTCTAGGTATCAGGTGATAGGAAGTTACTGCAAGATTTGAAGTTTAAGGTGGCTAGAGTAGATCTGTGCTCATCGGGGGCATGAATTGGAGGGGGCAAGTTGGAGGCAGGGAGACCAGTGGACAGATAGTGAGGGGGGAGCCAGAGTCCAAGCCTCGGTCTCCTGACTTCCAGCCCAGTGTTCTCCCCACTTCTCCCACTCATGCCTGCAGGTACCAGATTGAGCAGCTAGAAAATGGCCACACCAGAAGGCTGAGTGAGAAAGACCAAGCAGGGCCGGAGGGTCAGAAAGGTTTTCCAGAGCACAGGATCTGGGCGGTTGGGAGGAACACAGGAAGGAAAGAAGGGGACACCAGAGACTGGCAGGTTGACCCTCATGTGCCACATGAAGTTGCCACTTCTGTAAGTTACAAGTGAATGCATGTTGGCAATTTCATATGGTTCAGTTTACTGGCTGTCTGGAGCAACCTCAGCTTCTTAGCTATACACACACTTGGTGACAGACACCGAGCAGGCCAGAGTGCCCAGATGGTATGTATGAGAGCACAGGACAGCACCATGCTTCCCACACACACAGCTCTGAGACCTGCAGCTCTGACAAGAGATGCCTTTAAAGAGCCTCCACTTTCTGGAGCTCCAAAACTCCTTACGAAGTCACCACTCTGCTGGTAAGGATGAGGGGAGGTGAGAGCTCAATTCCACTGGAGGGAGGGACATGGGTCCTCATTGGAGAATTAGAAGATAGAAGTCAGATAGTGAATAAGAAAGAGCCTGATCAATTTAAAATAATGGTGTGTAAATATGTGTGTGGATTTTGGAAACCTTCCCTTCCTGTATTGTAAACAAAGATTCCCTGGTGTCTTTTTTCCTAAAATTATAAAAGTTGTGTTGGCTAATTTTCATGAGTGTCAGCTATGACTTCCTCCTCCATGGTACACGTGGTGACTGTGACCAGGGCAGAACAGTTAGCTTCTCTGTGCCTCTCTTTCCCCAGCCAGTTTCCTGTCCCCCTCACTTTCTGTGAGTCAATGTGTGCAATAATGTCTTAAGATCTTCACCAGTATTGTTACTGATATTCTTAATGAGATGCAAGAATAAATAGACTTTTCTATTCCTGGATATATACCCAAGAGAACTGAAGACATTCATCCACACAAAATACTCTACGTAAACTGTGATAGCAGCATTATTTGTAATAACTGAAAGGTGGAAACAACCGAAATGTTCATCAACTTATGAATAAATTAACAAAATGTGATATATAAAAATATCATATCATTTACCTTAAATATATACATTTTAAAAACATGTTATAGTCACATGATGGAATATTATTTGGCCATAAAACAAAATGAAGTACCGATACATGCTATTTCCAGGAGAGCATAAATCAATCTTGAAAACATTATGCCAAATGAAGCCAGTTGCAAGAGGACATATATTATATTATTCTATTTGTATGAAATGTTCAGAATAGGCAAATACATAGCAAGGCAGAAAGTAGATTGGCGGTTGCCTAAGGCTAGGAAAAATGGGGACAATGGTGGGGCCATAACTGGAGGGTACTGGGTTTCCTTTTGGAGTAATGAAATTATTCTAGAATGGTGATGGTTGCACAACTCTGTGAATAGATTAAAAACCATTGAATCACATTTTAAATGGGTGGATTATAGGGTATGTGAATTATGTCTCCATAAAGCTGTTACCAAATAAATAAGTTTGGGGCCTCAGGAGAGAGTGTCCCTCAAGACTCAAGAGCAAGGGTCTCAGTGTTTTCAAACCATTTTTTTCCTCCCACATTGTGTAGTGTGAGAAACCCTGGATGATGATAGTTCTCAGTCCTGGAGACTTATCCTGCTTCTGCTAACATCTTACGAGGCATCTTTGGGTAATTCACTTGTTCTCTCTGGACCTGAGTAAGAACTGAGGTTTCATGTCATCAGTATGAAGAAGTTTGTGGAGCAGGTCACCTTTAGGAGCCTCTATACCTAACACTGGAGTTCTGAGCCCCTTGGTCACAGCCTGCTTAGAGCCTTTAGGCAGGATGGGGAAGAGCACAGGGCTCAAGAGAGAGTCAGGGGACTCAGAGCTTGCCTCCTCTCCACTGGGGCACTTCTGGCTCACTTTCCTTTTATTGCATTTTAATTAAGTTGTTCAATCAAATTGGTACCAGGAATTGAAGGCTGTAACAGCTGGGGCAGGAGCAGAAAGCCTTGTAGCGGAACTAAACCAACAAAGTCTGCCTCCTGAGCAGATCCAGGAGCCCAGTGCTGCTACAGAGCGTCTCTCAGGGAGGGAGGTGAGAGGCTCCCCTGCTGCAGTCCACTGACAGGAGGAGCTTTGCTCTGGGCCTGAGGGCTGCCCTCCTGCAAGGCCATTGCCCTGGTCATTGGCCACACTGGCATTTTCAAATGGGCCTAGCCTGGCCTGACTTCCAGCTCTGACTCCTATCCTGGTCCTGCTCCTTCCTACCCACCCTCAGGCTCTATCCCCTCCACACCCTCTCCCCGATTCCCTTACCTGAGTTGGCAGTTAATCTGATGATGGAACGACATGGGCCGTGGGAGGGAAGTACATGGGGCATGGGAGAGAAGGACAGCTGACTTTAGGAGCAAGAGGTTGGCAGTGCTTAGACAGTCTAGAGTAGTGGAAAGAGCCAGAAAAAGGACCAGGTGCAGTGGCTCACGCCTGTAATCCCAGCACACTGGGAGGCCAAGGCAGGTGAAACATGAGGTCAGGAGTTTGAGACCAGCCTGGCCAACACGGTGAAAACCAGTCTCTACTAAAAATACAGAAAATTAGCTGGGCGTACTGGCAGGCACCTGCAATCCCAGCTACTCGGGAGGCTGAGGCAGGAGAATCTCTTGAACTCGGGAGGCATAGGTTGCAGTGAGCTGAGATCGCGCCACTGTACTCCAGCCTGGGTGACAGAGAGAGACTCTGTCAAAAAAAAAAAAAAAAAAAACCAGAAAAAGTGAAAAAGTGCAGAAACTAATTCAGAAAAGGGCATTTCCTCCTGGCAATGGGAAAATAGGCACATAGTCACAAAAGTGCAACAAAGGATTGAAATTGCCATATAATATGGCATTCATTAAAAACAAAAAACCCTATGTGGGCCTGCCCAATGGGGGAGTAGAGAGTACACAGGAATCAGTCCAGGGTTTTGTTCTTAGGGAGCTTGCAATCCAGTGAGGAGAACGGGGATGCAAACAAATGGGGCTTTGGGAAACAAATAGGGGGGACAAAAGGAGCAACGAAGTCAGCCTTAAGAGAAAGGAGATCAGCATAGGTCTTTGCTGGGAAGGTCATGTTTGAGTTGATTTTTAAAGATGAGCAGGAGTTGAACAGGGAGGAGGAAGAAGGGAAGGTCAGGCAGTAGGAACTGAATGTGCAAAGGCATGGACTGCAAGTACTTGGCACATACAGGGATTGTCAACATGAAGGCGGAGAGGCCGAATGGAGGAGAACTGTTGGGGAG